CTGTTTGTCGGCTCAGCGCGGCAGCCATGTAAATTTAAATGAAGCCGCGATCATTTAAATCACGGCTTCATTTGCCTTTGCCTATGTGTCTAATCTACAGTCTAGACACAGCCTGATAGGACACAGCCATCTAGCTTTGCATGGTCTAGGCTTGGGATAGTCCTGCTGGCTAGACACCTGTAAGAAAGCTCCAACATTCCTGTTTAAAGTAATAAAAACAGCTGTTCTCACCTTTTCCTTTTTTTAAATTTTTCTCAGCTTCTTCAAACAGTCCTGGCAAGTGAATCACCACACCATTTCCTAAAGAAAATCAGAAATGAAGAGTTTAATGTATGATGCCAGTCATGAAAAATTAGTATCTTACAAACCCGTGATTCATTTTTATTCACAAGGAATATTTTAAGACACATATTCCATAGAATCATAGAATACTAGGACTGGAAGGGACCTTGAGAGGTCATCGAGTCCAGTCCCCTGCCCTCATGGCAGGACCAAATACTGTCTAGACCATCACTGATAGACATTCATCTAAACTACTCTTAAATATCTCCAGAGAAGGGGATACCACAACCTCCCTGGGCAATTTATTCCAGTGTTTGACTACCCTGACAGTTAGGAACTATTTCAAAAGCTGTTCCATTATATTACTTTCATCCTGAGGAATCTAACGTATTAAACTTCCTGATTTACTGTTAATGTGCTTGAGTCCCTAACTGAGCCACTCTAAAATTAGAAATTTAACATTCTTATAGTATAAAAAAAAATAACTGCATTCTTGTCTGTCGGACAGTGTTATTTCTTTCATCACCTCTAAAAACTAATTAGTTGTTCAGACTTATTTTTCCTAGGCAGACCAAGCTATTTTTTAAATATTCTTATGGTATAATCACTCTTAAATGTTATTTCTGTTTTAACTCTAATATGTTACTCTCACCCTAAGATGCAAAAGGAAAGGAAGTCAATGTTGTCATTATGCTAGCACAAAGAGAAATTGTATCAGACAGTGAGCTGAGGTTGTTCATAGTCATTCTTTCCCATTAGTAATGTGGATCACTGCACTCACCCGTTGCCTAAAAAAGGCAAATAACACATAATTGCAAGAGTCACTAAGGAGTGCAGAGGTATACTGTTATGGACAGCTTTTCCCTGCACCAACAGTGAACAATCTTAGGGTCATGCTAAGCTCAGTAATATTCCCTGAAAGACCAAAAGACCATTCACTAAATATATATATTTGTACAAAAATAAAACTGTCACTGCCAGTTTAATATCAGCTCTATCTTCATATTACAGATTTTACATTTATGATAATTAAAAACCTTCAAAAATATAATCAATTTCATAATAATGCTGAGGGTTCAAAAGTATCTTAAAACAAAAGATTAAAAAGGTTTCCTATCCAAAGGTGCTTGCACGCTACACACAAAAATTGCACCTGTTTAGTTAAACTAGTGCAAACTTATCAGCACACAGCAATTTAAAACTAGTTATAATTAATTTAATTTGAACCTCTAATTCTACTGACAAACTACACTGACATCATGTAAGTTTAAACTAACAAATGCTGAGTGTTTACACTAGTTTAACTAATTCACAAGACTTTAATTAAAATGATTCATCTGTGTGTTTAGACCTATCCTAAATGCAGTTGTTAGGGATGCAATGGGCACATTTTAATTATTATGACAAGGATACACATTACATTTCTAAAGCTAATTGAAGGAACAATAAAAGTAATGTTCTTTTGAGGGGTATGGTACTGGGGTGGCAGGAGGAAAAAAGAAACATCATGACAGAAAGAACAGTTCAGGGAGGAGTTTGGAGAACACAGTAGGGGAGGAGTGTAGATAGAAATCGGTAGTGATGAGGGTGACACACAGGCTTACTGGGATGGAACAGATGGGTGAGACCAGACAAAGTCATTGGCAGTTAGCAGAGCCAAGAGTCCTGAAGTCTGGTAGTTCACTGACATAACTGAGAAGGAAAATCAGAATTTGAAAATGCTGTGACTGCTGCTGCAAGTCCACCAGTGGACTTGAGGCTGAGGGATATCTGAAAGGGGTCATATGAGAGCAGATTCTCTTTTGGCACTTGGTGGTCCTGGGCTCACTGCCCCTCAATACAGTGAAGAGATAGGAGAGAAAAGCACCATAATTTATAAGCATTGAGGGATTTTTGATGGTCACTCACTGATGTTGAAGTGGGAGAGAGAATGGTGGGAAGGGATTCTGGAAGTGGGTAAAAGAGATATAATGGTAAAGAAAGAAAGGAAGAGAAGAGCAAAGAGTGACAACAGTGGTAGGAAAGATGAGAATAAAGTAACAGCAACAAAGCAAATGAGAAAAAGTAACCAGAGACCTAATTTGAAAACTGAACAAAGACAATGCAGCCTCACTGCAGAGATTCTTTTTGGCCAACGCCCAAGTCCTTCTGAT